CATTGGAAATATCGATTTGGACAAAGATAATAATTTTTAAGTAAAATTGTTAAGATTTTATAAATCTGTAGAGAAAATTGTAAAAAAATTGAAATAAAAAAAATTACGGCCCGAAAACCCCCTTCACCAACCTAAATGGGACGCATATGATTTGCATGTCGAAAAACGGAGTAGCCCATGTTATTTAACGTAAAAAGTTGTGTAAGACACATAATTTTTTTTCTATTTATTTGCGACCGTTTTGTCAATAACAGAAAAAAACCAGTTTTGTTTGAGCCCTTTTAAGGGCATATAACTTCCTAAGGGTGCGTTTTAGGACACATGTTAATAGGAACTTTTTGGCTTATTTTAATGAGATATAAACGCAGCAGAAGTTTAGAACCCTATTTTAGAAACACCCTGTATAGGTAGGTATACAAGTTCGCCAATGGTGGGATCTTTGAAAAGTCTTTTATATCATTAAGTAACAATATCTAAAATTCACGCAAAAATTAATTTTGATAAAAAACAGGTTTTTGATTGAAAATTGTAATTTTTTTATTGATTCATAAAGTATAGGATTATGTATGGAATAGAATATCGGGTCGTGAAGGCTTTGCAGGCACAAACGCACTCTTTGTCGCAATTCGCCATGACCTGTTTCTATAAATGCAGCTGAATTTCGCTGATACAGCGCTCAATTTCCTCCTTCAAGACGTGGGTGGTCGTGGACTTGTTGGAATAAACCTTAGAGTTCAAAAAACCTAAAAAAATCCAACGGCGTTAATCGCATAATCTGGAAAGCAAATTCTGATCACCAAAACGGGAAATTACACCACCAGGAAATAACTTATGCAGTAATTGAATTGTTTCTCGAGCCGTAAGGTAAGTGGCACCGTCTTGTTGAAACCGCACATCGTCTACATCCATATCTTGCAACTTAGGCACAAAAAACTGGATTGTCATATCGCGATGGCAAACACCATTAACTGTTATTGCCTGAACAGCTACATTTTGGAAGAAGAATGTTCCGATAATGCCTCCAGCCCAAAATCTGCACAAAACAGTAACACGTTGTGGATGTACTTGTTTCTCAACAATCACTCATGGATTTTCTGAACCCCAAATTCGACATGAAGATGAAAAGGAGCCTAATGGCGGAAGATGCAATTTGTAAGCATGAAGATGCAAATCCAATTCTTGTCCACGATCCCGAATTGATGATCCTGGACTCTCAGCAACACTCTCACGAACTGCTTAGATGTTTTGTGTTGAACGACTTGTTGAAGGACGGACGAACTGTTTAAGCCACTATTTGATCTATTCTCTCGGAAATTTTCAAAGAATCTCTATACAGTTGATGAAGTTAAATCATCATTCTGCCATATTTTGTACGAAATTTGAAAACTGCAGCTACCAAACCTTCATTATTTTTAAAATATTGTTCAACCATCAATACGCGTTGTTTTTTCGTGTGGCACTGTATTTTCTCCGCTGTTTTTTTTTCCGTTGGCAACACTGGCACAAATGGCGCAAAATTCAAATTTTGCGTGGATTTTGGGACACCCGATATAAAACAGCATTGATCCGACAAGAGACACTATCCTAGCATTAATCTTTCTTAAAACAATAAATTATTTAATATTTACAAACACTTACTAGCTCCACAATAAGCGTTAAATTAAGCGAAGCACGTTCATTCATGCCTAGCCTGATCTAATAACTTAGAAACGAAAGATAGTGAAAGTATTTCTAATTCAATTAAAAGATATTGCAGACTGGAAATCAATTTAAATGCCTACGAGAGAAAAAGCTGTTTATCTCTAATGAGTTTGATGAAATTTTACAGAAATATTTTTCCTAGAATTTTTACGGTGTTTGTTTTGGGCACTAATTTTTATAATAGGGAGAGTTCATTCTCAAGTGAAGACTACATTTATATTTAAATCCAGATACATATACATATTTTCATAAAAATAATAAACCGGGAATCTAATACTAAAGAATGTTTTTACATATTTTTTAATAGTTGCCATCGATCATCACTTCACTATTACGTTATCGTTATTTAAACCTGTATGAATATTTATTATTTTAAAAATAACATTTTTATAGATTTATAGATTTTATAGCAAAAGTACGCGTTCTACTTATATCACACGTACACCTTAGGTACACTTCTATTTATGACTTAACGATGTAATAATAATTAATAATCGTACCGACTAGGTATTTGTAAAAAAGTTCTACTAGTTGGCCTTGATCTTGCCGAATAATAAATTTGCGATTAATTCGTATATCCTTTTCTGCACCATTTGTCGAGAACCGAAACATAAAATAATGCCATGTATTTTTCAAGTTTATGAAACAATGAATATTATTATTTTTCCAAATTTTATAACGACTTTGATGTTTAATAAAATACTCAATTTACCTGAAATCATAATGGGTTCCGCTCCAACAAATAAGATACACCAATCTTTTATAGCACATAAAAAAAAATTGCGGATATTTTCTTTGAATTACTGAAATGTCTACAGTTCTAGGTATGTACCTCGATATAATATGAGAAATTTTGGCTTTGTTCCATTGGGATTTTTCGAGCGATATCTAACTGTGTTATGGTTTATTGAACTCCTTTTTCTAATCAGTAATCACATTTACACAAATTAGTTATACAAGGAAAAGAAATGGCGTTATGTAAGCATAACGGTGAGTGGAATTATTGAAAATTAACATAACTCCTCAAATTGGATATACAAATCGCGATGTCGAGTTCTGTTCTGTTCTGTTTTAACAAGTAGTGGTTGCTCCGACTAGAATATTTTTATGTACGTACTTGAATTTGGCTATAAATACGAGCAGAGACGAGGAAATGAAATTTCATGAAATCGGATCGTGTGATAATCAAAATTACTGTAAGTGTTGCTTCCACGAAAAATTATAGTAAATATTTCGTGGCATTTAGATTATGTTTTCAAAATAGGTGCGACGTACTTCTTATAATACTAAAATTAAAAACAAATAACCCATATTTTATTATTTTTTATTCGGAAATTATTCGAAATATATTGCAAAATTGAATATAATTATTTTTTTAAATAATTATTCTTTTTATGTATGATTCGTGTTCTAAAAATAATATTTTAACAAATACTTTTTTTGTAGATATGTAAAAATTTTGCATTATTTTTTAAAAGTATGAAGGAATTAACTTTATTTGTTTAATTATTTTATTATCAGTTTAGGAAATACACTAATCATATTTCCTACTTGTGGACGATTTGGAAATTATTCAGGTTATGGCGACATCTGTTGTTTACAGTAGCAAGATTTTGCCAGATAATAAAGTTTTCTACTATTAAAAAGGTCCGGAAGTGTTATTAATAGCCTATTTAGCTGATAGATGGCAGGACAAACAGAAAATCTATAAGAGTAGATGGAATTCTGATTATGTACTAAATATGTGGAACCAGAGCATGATTATATTTGTTATAAAGTGTCTCGAATACATCACCTCAGTTATTTCTATTATGATTTAAGGTTTCAAATTCCTTGGACCTGGAGACAACCCGAACATTCAGCGTTCCGTATTATAAAATTAAAAGGTTGGCAACCCTAATTACTTGTGCAAGTCAGTGGTGGAGGTAATGGGAGATACTGCCACTAAAAGTATTTAAAAAATTTGTTTAGTTTTGTTGTATTTTAACAAAACCTATTTTATTTGAAAAATAACCAGCTTCAAGATGTTTCTTTATTTGGAGCAATATCCCTAAATAAAAAAAATATAACATTTAATGAAATACCCAATGGCGTTGTTCTGGCGAAATTCTGTTTTTTTTTAGTAGCTATATCTCCTTGTATGTCCGTCATTAGTTGACATAATTATATGTAAATTCAGTGAAATTTTATATTTACTCAGTTAAATCATGAATCTAATCTTTATTAGTCCGCATCAAACATTTTCAAGACATTTGTGTAAAGTAATATTTTTCAAAAACTTTACTATTCTACATGGTAATTCAGTCAAGACATTAATTTTAAATACGTATTCGGAAGGCCTGAAAAAGATAGAAAATCGAAAAAAAAATTACTCGATCTTTTAATAATTAAACAAATTGGTTTCAAAATCAAAGTGCAATGGATCCTAAAACTTTATTATGAAAGTGCTAGAGACAAATGAATGAGTGTTTTTAGTCGTCATTTTAAATAGGTAGGTACCATTCTCTTTGAAAGCAATAAGTCACACAATAAAGTATACGTACTACTAACTGAATTAATTATAAAACGTAGTGGTTGAGTTAACAATATTAAAAATAATAAATTGTATAATCTAACATTTGAAAACAATGATTATCCTTATACATTTTTGTTTCTATTAACAAATAATACTTTTTAATATTTAAAATGAAAAAAAATACCATATTCATTCATGTGCTAGCGAAAAAGCTCTGTTTATTCGATTAACACGAATTAAAAAGGCATGAAAAGCTAGGTCATTATTAACTCTGGATAAACCTCTGTGGATCAGTCGAGGGATCAGTGGTCAGGAGCGATTTGAAAATATTTTTTTCGGCGTAAATATGTATTTTTAAATTTTTTTGTCGCGTGTACTTATTCTTCACATTTTTCGCTATTTTCCCTTAAATTTAATGATATTATGACTGAATCACTCTGTATGTCTCAAAACTAAGCCGCTTGGGAACTAACTTTTTTTCTGAAATATTTTTATACGTACTTACACACTGGATTATCAAATTTATTCCACTTTTTACAGATTTCAAAATAATGGAGAGAAACACTTTTTATTTTCTGTCAAAATAAATCAAGTAAATATTATCTATAATAATTAATTATTCATAATAATTAATTATTTATTTGATACTTGTCAAGCAGTAACGAGAAAAAGAAGGTATTTTGGTATGGAATTATTGCCTAACAAAATTGACTAATACAACCCTGATAAGCGAGTCATCGACCGTGACTGTTAGTATAATTTTAATTTACCATGTGCGTTAGTCCTCAAATAGTGAATTGAATTAAACATTGTGTAAAAATACACGACTCAAAAGAAATGAGAGAAGCCCTGATAAACCACAACGAAACAACCTTTTATAAAGAGTGCCCTAAACGGGAGACAGTCAGTCGGTCCATATTTAGTTTACTCGATTCCTCTGACAGGACTTTTTCGATCGAGTTGTGCCCCGGTAAAAACATCGACGAAGGCTTGCTGTCAAAACTGGGACTAAATTTCTGTTCGATAACTTGGCACAGTCCCTCGGTGGCACAGTTGAAATGTGTGGATAAAACACCGGGTATTCAATTGGCACAGCGACTTTGCTGTCAAGGTTACAACGTGCTGCTGCATTTGGCGGGAAGAAATTTACACGGCGATCTCGTGTTGGACATTTTGAATGCGGCGAAAGGTATCGGAGTCAGGAATATCTTTGCACTTCAAGGAGGTTTGTACTTTTCTAGTTATTGGTGCCCAAATAAAAATGGAACAGAAATTACTGTCATTTTAAGTCTCTTCTTAATCGAAAAAAAGTTTCCTATAAACATGAATCTGAAATTGCATAGAAAGAAGTTACCGGTGATAAAGGTGCACTTCAAAAATACATTTTTTATAATTACTCCGACAGCTTAAGGAAATTAATGATGGAATCGTTTAGTATTGAAGGCCTATTTAAATTATGAAGCTAATACATTTTTTTATCATGCTCTTATTGTTTCTTTTTCTTATTTTAATTGCTACAACGTATCACTAAAGTTTAAAAGGAGTATATTGCACTTTTAATTTTAAATCATAAAAGCGTTATTTGCCTATTTTCTCAAAATAAAAAATTATCTATAGCAAACTATTCCTTCATTATTGCAATAAATAATTATACTCGTGTCGAAATTTAGATCTGAGCAGGCCATATAAAATACATATTTCTGGCAATACGCCTTTGTGTGTAGAAATACGTTATATATACAATCTGGAAATGATTGACCAGCAAGGATTAAAGAAATTAATATTCAAACTTTTAAGTTTTTCGTATGGTTATTACGAGTATTACTCACATAAATGAAACGTGGCAACGTCGCACACTAAAGGAAGGTTAGTTTGCTGGCGCGCTGACATTCTATAAAGTTTTTAAATAAAACCTTTTTCGTTTGAAGGAACCAATAAAATAAATTAAACTAAGGAAGATTTTTGCAAAATTTTTTAAAAACTTACCAAACGATTGTAATGCATCCACTTCTTTCCACTTCTTTCCGTCAATCTCTCTCTCAGACACAACTGCGATCTGTACGACGTTGCCAGTTGTCGAAACTACGTGACTCAAATATGAGACTTGCTCGAAAGTTTTCTAATTGAATTTTGAGAAATAACTACCTTAAATTTACTATTACCTATGTCTGTTTCAGTTTGGTGCCTTATTTTAGAAACACAATTATTAGTTTTGTTCCTAGAGCACTACGTGGTTGAGAAAGAATCGTGCTTTATTAGAAAAATAATTTGTAACGTTATATTATAACATATTTAAAAATAAGGTTGTCCTCGTCAGGGGGAAATAATATTTCTATAAGATAAAATTTATGGCCGTATACTCAACTTGATAAAAATTAACTTTTTTTTTATTTTATAACTGACTTGTAAAATTAGAATCGATTGCCACCAAACTGCATACCTATATGTTTTAACTGTGAGGTTATATTTTCTAAGATCTAACAAAGTTTTCTTCAGAGATATACAAAAAGGATATCTACACAGGATATAGAAATTAAAAAAAATAGATGCATTGCTTTCAAATTTGATACCTAAGAATAAATTTTTTTTCAACAATTTTTCCAATACAAAAATGGCCCTCTCCTCTACAGGAAACCATTTTTGTGCTTATACTTATTTTTTCAGAAATAAAAATATGTTACACTGTGATGTCATATTTACGATTTTTTAAATGCGTTCTCAAATGTATGTCGGTAACTCAGTTGGCGTGAGGAAAGAAACCAAAGGGAGAAGAAGAAAAGGATAGAGATTAGAGATGAGATTATTATGATCTTGATCTTAGGTTATGTTACCTTATGTGTACGAATGTGCTCCAAAAAATATATCATAGAAGTAACGAAATATAATTCTTTTAATTTCGGTCAACCTACTGCACAACATTAGAAATACTTTTTAATGAAGCAGGATCCTTTGTCAAAGTGTCAAATTTTAAATCAAACATTTTTTGTCATTGGCACATAATATGACTGACGCGTTTTGCAGATTTCTGTTCATATTATCATTATACATATGTTAGAAAGTGTTTCTTAACTGACAAAGAGTATTACCGAGTTCAAAGAATCAGATCAACTGTTATAAAAGGTATTTCTAATAATTTTTTAGCAGGAGACCAAATTTTTGGAGAATAATTTTTTATCTATAAAACTAAAAAAAGCAATATTTTCAACTCTATTCATATGATGTACCACATTAATTAATTTTTATATACCTTTACCTACAAGAGAATCTGTTATTCTAGATCCATCTCAAATAAAAGAAAAAGATGATGCCAAATGTGATTTCCCGTATGCCGCAGATTTGGTAAAGTTCATTAGAGCGCATTTTGGGAACTACTTTTGTATTGGGGTTGCGGGCTATCCAGACAAACATCCATATTCCGTAAATTTGGAAGAAGATGTATATTATTTAAAAGAAAAGGTAATAGATTAAGTACATTTATTTACATAAAAGTTATCACCCTATAATCAATTTTATTCTTTAGGTAATTCTTCTTCTTCCTCCTCCTCTTCTTCTTCCAGAAATTAGTTACGTGCAAACGATTATTATCTTGTGCTGTTGTCATCGCTAGGAAGAAGCAGAAATTGTAATAAGATGACAAAATTACATTTTTAGTTGCTCTAGCTGTGTCAACATATATTTTCCCTCTCCAATCAATCAAACGATTTTTAATTTGATTTCAGGTGTCCAATGGGGCGGACTTCATAATAACCCAGGCCTCCTACGATTATGAATCCTTCAAAAATTTCTCCAAACGCTGCAAAGAATCGGGTATTAATTTACCTATAATTCCTGGTATATTCATAATCAGTTCCTATAAGACTTTAATTAATATGTCGAAATTTTGTGCAGTGCCGATTTCAGCAGAAGTCCTAAAAATCGTAGGCAAAAACAAAGATAATCCCAAGGCTGTTAGAGAGTTTGGAATTCATCACACTACTGAATTAATGAAATGTATACTTAGAGAGACAGGATATAACTTTAGGGGAGTTCACATATTTTCGCTAAATGATTTGGAGTTGGTGGTAGAAGTGATCAAGAGATTAGGTTTATTTGGTCCTAGACTAGAATATCCTCTGTAGAATTGTTGCCCTGAGGTATTTATCTTTGTATGATTTTAATAAAGAATCTCAATTTAAAGATTTTATTTCTGGCAAATACTTGTTTTATTTTTACCATTTTTCATTATTTTAAAACCAACAGTTGTTCCACAAACACCTGTACTCATAAGAATAATTGAAAAAGGGAATAAAATCAAGAAAAGTAGAAGAAGAAATTATGGATGGGATTGTGAAACATGGAGAATAAAACCACTTTAGAATCACATTTTTAATACAGTTTCTGTTCTTCATATGATAAAATAATAATTCATTTCTTTTGCGGAACTGTAAAAAATCTACAATGGCTTGTTATTATGCAAATAATAGTAGCCCGTCTATTTTCTCATACATATATAGTTAACAGATAAAAAGTTCAATAGGTGCGTCCACATATCACGCATACAAGCCTTGATCTCCACTATTACTGTTAAATTTAAGTAATTTATTCAAATTACGAAATATCCGTGTGACCTACTTATCACTCGTTTTTATTATTATCTATAAATTTCCAACAAAAATTGTACACTACTTATTTTATACAACGGCTAGTTTGTAAAAATATTTCATCATTCAGTTACATAATAATTAATCATCTAAATAATCTGTTAATAAGTGAATTATTTATTATTAACAAATCATATACTGGATGAACATCTACAGCACAAATAGTGATGAAATGGCCTTTAAAGTCTGTGACGAATTTGGTTTGATGTCGCCAATAGTCTGAAAATGTAAAACGCCTTGATATTATAGTCTTTCCGAAGTCAGCTGAACATGCAAAAAACGTCTGGTAATAAAATTTAATGAGTTTCATAGGCGTCCCTAAAAAAATTTTCTGCTAAAGGAAAAAAATTATAATAATTTGTATATAATGTGTAGAAAATTTCTATTATAATATATTCATTTGGCCAACAACATATTTTAATTATTTATGTCCTCAAACAATTTTTTTATATTGGTGCTAAATTTCGTTTTGTTCCGTTTCAAAAGGTCTCCTAAATGCCATGTTGTGATAATATTAGTAAACAAAACTATCCCTCTTATTTCTCCCTTTCGCAATTGTAATATGAATGATTGATAGAAGGTGCCTATAATAAATTAAAATTACCTGAATCACACCAAATTCCGCATTGCTGCACTGCACTGCTGGGCAATTTATCAACCACTTGTCATCTGCCGTAATTTATTGTCCAGTAGCCCAATGCAACTGTGATCGTTTTCCTTTGCCCGCGCTCGCATTCTTCAACTGAGCGTATACATTTCTATCGCCTCCACGTTTAGTTCAACCAGACCTATATATGGGTATGGCTAAATAAATATGGGAACAAGTTTTTCAAATATTTCAATGCCGACGCAGCAAGTCAGCGACCGAACCTGGTACATACTATCAATCTGTTGGTTCTTCAATTGTGGGACATGAAAAGAAAAAGAGTGAGGTAACTAAGAAAGAATATTAATAAATTGGGGAGCTGACAGCTAAAGTTTTGGAAAATAAAATATTTAATTTAAAAGGAAGATAATTTGATTACCAGAAAGAAACAAATGTTGTCAATTAAAGAAAAACCATTAAGCATGAGTAGAAGAAAACAGTCTCAAGAACTAAATTAATTGAAGATTACGGAAAATAGAAACTTAACTTAAAGTTAAATAACAAAACAAAGTTAACTGTTATAGGATATTACCCAGTTTTGAGTCAACACAGATCTAATCCAAATCACTGATAGGGAATAGTAATATAGAAATATCAGCAAGGAGACAAACAACAAGGAGTTATATGACAGATGACAAGTCAGGAACATAAGTTGTGCTAACAGGTACAGGAAAAAAATAGAGGGGATAAAGGACCAAGAATTCTTGGTCCTTTATCCCCTTCTTTTCTTAAGAAAAGAAATTAGTGTATTAGACAGTGGCAAAGAGGTATAAGCCTCTAATATAATACAGACTTATGTTAAATTTAATATTTAAATCCAAATCTTGGTTATTGTTATTTAATTTAAATTAGAGTAGAGGAAGTGGCGAAGGTTTAATTTAAGAATACTTTTATTGATAGAAGATTGAAAAATTTTGCATAAATAGTAAAATAAATTAAGTGTTAGCGAATCACATAATTTTTATTTTTATTTGAAATATATTGGATCAGAGTAATTAAATGAATTAGAACTGTGGTCAGTTAAAATTCAAATATAATTTTTAATAATAATAATAATATAATATTTTAAAATCAAAGTACTAATCTTCTCAGAACCTCACCCTGAGGTAAGAATACTCATATTAGATAAAAATTTGCTTGAATCTTAAATAATTTTTTTTCTCAGACTTTCACTATAAACATAACAAAATTTAAATTAAATTACAACTATATGCTCATGTGAGCTGGCGCCCAGACAATAAAGAACAAAAATAGGATACAAAGAAGAAGAAGCGAAGCAGAATAAGTAAATACAGGTAAGAAAATTAGCACTTCACAAAAATTTATGATATTAACATTTATGATACATAATAAATAACTTTCTTAAAATAGTAGTAGGTATAATAAAAAACTTGACATTAATCTGATTAGTTGAGCTAAATCAGATCAGGTAAATTCACATTTTAGACCAGGGTCGATAATTTTTGAAACCAAAAAAAATTATAGTAGGATGAAACCCATTGGAAAAGGAAGATAATATAACAGTAATGAAAGCAAAAATAATTTACGGGCGATCTGAGGTCGGGAAGGGGTAGGGGTGAGTTTTTAAGGGTAAAAACGGTTTCCCTTGATTTCCAGAAAAACTACAAGCTTATGGAAAAAGTTAAATGGCAAAGTTGTAGGTAATAAAAAGATCTACAACTTTTGTATTTACACTTTTTTCACATAACCTCAAAATTAATGTGGAAAATTCAAATAACCAAGTTTTTGGTTTTTTATTTTTCTTTTACAAAAAAAAATTTTTTTCACGAAATTTGGTTAAAACTTACCTATTTATGTCCCAAATACGCTGTAATTTTTTTGATTTGAAATATTTATTTTTTCACCTTATTTTTACTTAATATCGAAAAAGCGCCCTAATTTTCAATCGTAAATTCTCACGTCAAAATATCTGCTTTTTTTAAAACTTCGGTAGGCTTTTTCTTCGTTGAAATCTCTACTTTCTGATGGTGTAAAAAAAATATACATTAATATGGTAAGTTTTCTCAGGAAATGCAAAGAAACGAAAGAAGATTCTACAACTCTTTCAAAATATTGTAGATGTCTTATTAAATATTAACTTTATTAACTTATTTGGTTGTTAATTATAATAGTATATTTCGACTTGTAATTTTTTTGTTTATCAATGTAACATGGAATCTTACGTTTTTTCGAGTAATTAAAGTGTAAATTTTAATAAATAGCTCAAAATTGTACATAATGATTAGAAAAAAAATTTCGGATTCTAGTTCGTTTCTTTGCATTTCCTGAGAAAACTTACCACAGTAATGTATATATTTTTTTACACCATCAGAAAGTACAGATTTCAACGAAGAAAAAGCCCACCGATATTTTTAAAAAAGCAGATATTTTGACGTGAGAATTTTCGATTGAAAATTAGGGTGCTTTTTCGATATTAAGTAAAAATAAAATGGAAAAATAAATATTTCAAATCAAAAAAATTACAGCGTGTTTGGGACATAAATAGGTAAGTTTTCACCAAATTTCGTGAAAAAAAAAATTGTTTGTAAAAGATAAAAATAAAAAACCAGAAACTTGGTTATTTGAATTTTTCACATAAATTTTGAGGTTATGTGAAAAAAGTGTAAATACCAAAGTTGTAGATCTTTTTATTACCTACAACTTTGCTATTTAACTTTTTTCCATAAGACTTGTAGTTTTTCTGGAAATCAAGGGAAACCGTTTTTTACCCTTAAAAACTCACCCCCTACCCCTTCCCGACCTCAGATCGCCCGTAAATTATTTTTCTTTTCATTTCTGTTATATTATCTTCCTTTTCCAATGGGTTTCATCCTATTATAATTTTTTTCCACTTTTTACCATTTTTGAAGGCTTAAGCACTGGTCTATTTGTATTGAATAATTCCATCCATTTTCATCTCGTTGACCATTCCAAAAGTAGGCCCCTACAAGTACCTACTTTATGTCGAAGAAACTATCAGTATTTGCTTCCTTACTTCAAAACTAACAATTAACAGATGATTTGCGTTAAAAAAACACTGACTATTTAGAAGATTAACGATAAATTCAAATTAAAACACAATCGGTGAACTAATAAATACAACAGCAAGCAAGGACGCCTCTGAACTGATGGATCGTGTCGGTGGGAAATTTAAGAAAATGGAAATTAATTTTGATCAAATGGAAGTTAATTTTAATATCTTTGGTAACATTTACGTGTGACGTCAGCTTCAATCGTTCTGGATCGCCCGGTATAATGAGAGAGGAGTGGAATCACTAACTAACGGCCTAAGTTGTCTGAATAAAAAACCCAAATAATTCAATTTATTACAGACATGGGATACATGTAAACTCCACGATAACTTAGATTCCACATATATCTCTAGTTTGCTTTCTTCTGTAACCGGCATTGACTTCCCATAATCAAATTTAATCAATGACTGAACTCTGAAATTGTATTTCCTGCAAGAAATTTCGTAAGACGTGATTTACCACAACTAAAATTGAATTTATTCTTTTCGGCCCATTCTGTCACATTTTGCAAAAGGTGTCGAATGCAATTGTCTTGTTTGATTCTAAAGATGAAGTTGGAATGATCAGCATATATTCTATTACTTTCGGTAATGAATTATGCAATAAGCGATTCCGAAGATAATAGTGAAATAAAAAATGTGTGGGAAATCGATTGTGCAGTAGTTCCAGAAAAATCCAATTATCCAAAAATTGATATAGGAAGGAGCAATGAAAAAGTGTTATTGGCGTTTTTTGTTCATCGAAATGGGACATCAAAATTGTCTGGTAGTCTATGAGCGGACTATTCAAGTATTCAATGTTAAAATGCACAATTTTCTTTAAATACGTTATTATTATTTCAAAATTTTCTAACTTTATTGCAAAT